CGAAGTTTTGCGCTTTGAATAGAGAAGCTTGTTGTTAGAAACTTTAAATGGATTTCCAAGTACATGACGTCACATACTTGAAATTCTTTCTTTGATTTTGAGGTTTTGGGTTATTTAAATAGGAATTTGTCATGTAATGTCCATAAGAATTCATGTATTTGTAAAATTTCGGCAACTACTAACAACTTTCATCAACTTTTTTAAGACAAATAATATCGTTGATACCAAAAACATGAAGACCAAATTAGATATCGTCCTACTGGAAAATGCTGGTGTTGTAGAAGAAAAAACTTTTGGACGACGATGCGTAAGGATAAATACGGCAATGCTGTATAAGCAACAAAAGTATAACCTTGCCCGAGAAGAATCTGAAGGTTATTCAAAATTAATGTGCGAATTAACCATGAGTTACAACACCATGTATAAAAATGGAGATGAAAAGTCTCAGAATGTGCGTGTGCAAAGTCTCTTGGAGACTATACAGACATTAATAGGTAAAGTTATTATACATAAATCTGTTGGTTTTTTACTCCAATAAATCTAATTTAACTAATTAATACATATAAAAGGATTCTTTAATTTGGATCCTAATCGCGTTCTCGACTTAATTCTCGACGTATTTATTGCAAATGTAAAGGATCATTATGAATTTTTCATACGACTTTTAAAGAACTCCCCTTGGCTACCGGATCCTCTTGATGTGGATAAATGTAATTCTGATCATGATATTTTGGATGAGTGGTCGAATGATAAGGGTAATCCAACATGCGCTCAATTGCTTGGCACAAAATTTTCTCGTTATAAAGGTTCCGACATGATGTCAGATGCATTTCAATCATTGTATATCGCTTCTGCAATATTAATCCACAATGAGATTGTAAAAATGGCTGACTTGTATCCATATATTTTGAAGGAACCTGGCGATAATGATCCATACGAACATTTAAGCGGAATTGCATGTGCTTTTCTTGAAATCGGTGACTTTTATCACGCACGTTATGTATTACATCATCTTCCTGATATTGGGGAATCCGTCGTTAAATGTTTGCGTGAGATAATTAATGTAGCAATTCACGAAGTTTATGTTCCAATCGCCCCTCGGTTAATAAAATATTTTCCAACTCCGACTTTTTTTGGATCCTGGTATAAACAATGGAGTGAAGGAGTTCCCATTTTTCATTCTTTTATGGATCTCATAAATGAAAAAGGACGGCAATTACTACATTTTGTCGGCCCATGGCTTTCTAAAGATCTTATATTACTCACCAAAATAATGCGTATCACATTTCACCATCTAAAGGAATCCAAGAATACTCCAGATTATGAAATTATTCAAAATGGTTGGATTGACATTCTTCTAACGGTAATTTTGCCAAGTATATCTATGCCAGGCACTACTTGTGGTGTGATAGATGAGTTATGGAACATTCTTAAATTATTCCCGTATGAAACGAGATACAAGATATATGCCAATTGGAAGCTAGTTTACAGTTCTCACCAGTTATTAAAAGAGCAGCAGAAGAAAGTCTCATATATTACTAAAGATATTTTAAAGAAGATAACAGAAGAAAATTGCCGGGTGAAAGGTCGTGATCTCGCCAAAATTTCACATACAAATCCGACTGTCGTATTTGAAATTATTCTAAAACAAATTCAAGCCTATGATAATATGATGACTTCATTTGTCGAAGCCTGTAAATACTTTACAGCCCTTGAATATGATATCCTGACTTATCAGATGCTAGAGATATTTGCTTGTGACAGGGCAAGGTTAAAAGAAGATGGCGTCAACATTAGTGATTGGCTTAAACATTTGTCAGACTTTTGCGGAAATATGTGCCGAAAATACGATAAAATGAACCTCACAGGCATTCTTCAATTCATTGTTTGCAAACTCAAAGATCGCAGCTCCGTGGATCTATATGTTCTTTCACAGCTAATTACTGCAATGTCTGGGATTAAATACGAAGCAATCCCTTCAAATTTAGATGTAATCCTTATGGGTACTGGAGAAAATCTACGAAACATCAAATTATTCAATCGGAATCAAAAAAATGTCCGTCGCAATTCCTCCCGGCTGGGTCAAACCCTTGTCGAGGAGGGGTTTGCCATGAAGATTGCTATACTGATTGCTCAACTGGCGCAAAGCATTCCGTATGAAGCATTTGGCGTGGTGG